TGGTTGACATAATATCATGGGCACATAGATAGCTGGAGCGAATACTGCATTCAAAATGGGAAACGGCGTTGCTATTGGCACTGATGACAACAGTGCGACGAATAGAAGCACCTGAATGGCCTCTTGTATTAGTAGAGATCTAACATAGGATATTGAAAATCAATCTGTTGGAGCAGGATCGGACAGACTGCATACTTTTGCGTCACTTTTGAGGAAAGCACAAATTGCGTCTGGAGTTGCTTGTGCCGGAGCTGTGCCAGCGCCGTGCCACGACCCACGTGCACACGCTCCGTATTGATTGATCAAGTCCATCACGGCGCTGGCACAGTTCGGGCATGGGCAACTCTAGACGCGGTTTGGCTCACTTTTCTTGCGATTGCCCTTTACTTATGTTCTTTATAAAATACGCAGAACTCTGCAATCACGTACAGACTGTCAAAAAGTTAGCCATACCTGAGCTACTGCCACTCTCGCAGCTGGTGGCACCAATTCTGCCACTAGTAAGGATGACACTGCGCCGGCTCCTGTGCAGAATACGAAGTCTGTTGCGAACTCGTTAATTACGGCTAAATTACCATGGTACTGTCTCCAACATCAGAGTTACTGGAATTCTAAATACCTGTATAGCGGGTTATCCATGATGTCGACGTGAAATAAACCAAAAGTTGTGCAGTGAACATAAAGACAGTTTTCATAAAACTAAAAACAAGATCATAAATCTCTCGAAACTAGCAAAAAATCCAGAAGACATACAGTAGTATAGCTGCAACGAATACTACAGGGCGACGACCGAATTTGTCAAGAGCAAAACTGCTCAGAAGAATGAGTGGGGAAAGGAGTAGAGTGCTCATCCAGCTTAGTATTAGAGACTAAAAATGGCTATCAACGTTCCAGCAAAGGAGATTGCGCGACCAACCTGCTCCACAGTTAATCCTAATGATGTATGGACGATAACAGAATATGCCCTTTCGACAGTTATCGGCGAAAGGGTGAACATCATTTGAATGGCGATGAT